GCCCCCCAGGCAGAGGCTGTATCGGGGGGACCTCGGCCGCTGCTCCCATGCGTGGGCTGCCATGGTCTGGGTCCCGCGTGGCCGGGGCTCTGTTCTCCTGGCGCTGTCTCTGGGAACAGCTGGTCTGGTGCAGGCCGCCTCTCAGGAGGGGCGGGTGGGCGTGGGCTGCTTCCATTCCACATGCTTGCAATTGTGTGGCTTGGCCTGGAGTTCCTGGTGTGGGGTCTTGGCCACAGCCATCTTCTGCAGCCAGCAGAGCCTGGTGTGGGCAGGGCCAGGTGGGCCATGGCCCAGTGCAGTGGCTGAGCTCTCCTAAGGGCCACTCTGTGCTGGACAGGGGGGCAGGGACAGTCACTCGCTCCTTGGCAGCGTTAGAGCCCGGCTGTGTAGACAGAGGCCCTAGGGGATGGCCAGGAGGGGAGGGCCTGCCTGTGCTGATAGGGGTCACTCAACAGCCACCACATAGGCTGGAGACCCCATGGCCTCCCCAGGCTCCCTGCTGGAGAAGCAGCCTGAGTGCGGTGCCTGCCACACTGCCTCTTGCTGTCTCCATCTCTGTCCACAGCGAGATCTTCCCCTACCTGGTGGTGGTGATTGGGCTAGAGAACGTGTTGGTGCTCACCAAGTCGGTGGTCTCCACCCCAGTGGACCTCGAGGTGAAGCTGCGGATTGCCCAAGGTAATAGGCCACAGGGCTGTGCTGGGCAGGATGGGCCTGCCACTGGGCAGGAAGCCCCTAAGCCCACTTGCTCTGGTTTCTGGTGGAATGTGCCATGGCACCTGGGCAGCATGCTGGCCTGTGCCCCAAGGGGTGTGGGCTGCTGGGCTGAGCTCTGCCTGCCCCACGCGCCAGTAGCCGGCTGGGCCGCCTCTCCAGGGCCTCGTGGTGGAGGCCTCCTGCCTGGGCTGGGCCGGGTCCATATTCTCTTCTCATCTCACCCGCTCGGCCGCCCAGCCCAGGCCTCTGGGCTGGTCACTTCAGAGGCACTGCCTCCATAGCTGCCAGGTCCCAGCCTCACTGGCAGGGCCTTGGGACCTGGGGCTCTGAGGAGAGATGGAGGCTCCTCCCGCGGGCCTCGGAGGACACTGGGGGCTTTCCTCTGGGATTTTCTTGTCTCCCTTCTGACGTATGAGAGGTCTTCAGAAAGTCCGTGGGAGATGCATATTGTGAAAAAGTATGCGTGGGCTTTATTTTTTGGGGGGAGGGCACCAAAATAAGCTCATGCTTTGTTCCAGTTTCACAAGCTTTGCCACCCCCCGGGATATAGCTTTCCTGGTGCCCTCCAGACTCCAGAGCCTCCTCCCCACAGCAGCTGTGTGGTGGCAGCATCGGGGCCCAGGCATAGGCAGGCCCTGAAGGCCATGGCACTTGGGGGCAACAGCTGCTCAGAAGGCTGGCATTGTCCCCACGCCTCTGCCCTGAGGACTCATGGTGGCATGCAGTCAGCGGCTGTCCTTACCTCTGCAGGCCTCAGCAGCGAGAGCTGGTCCATCATGAAGAACATGGCGACAGAGCTGGGCATCATCCTCATAGGCTACTTCACCCTGGTGCCCGCCATCCAGGCAAGGCCCAACGGCCCCGCCGAGCCCGCCTGGCACTGCCCCTACCCTCCCTGCCTGTTGCCCACGGCCCATGCACTCGGTCAGAACTTGTCCCCATTCTCAAGAGAGCACAGGCCTTGCGCTGTCCCTTCTGGACCCTCCTGGCGGCCCCTCCGCCCCCGCCGAGCCCGCCTGGCACTGCCCCTACCCTCCCTGCCTGTTGCCCACGGCCCATGCACTCGGTCAGAACTTGTCCCCATTCTCAAGAGAGCACAGGCCTTGCGCTGTCCCTTCTGGACCCTCCTGGCCACAAGGCCTGACCTGACCTGGGTGGGAGGGGCGATGGGCAGCTTCCCAAAGCCAGGCTGGGAAGGGCCACCAGGGCCCCTTGGGCAGAGTTTGTAGCACCCGGAGAGGAGGGTGAGCAGGGCAGAGGGGCAGGTACCATGTGAGGCGCTGCACCAGGCGGCTGCCGGCCAGGAGCTGGACAATGTGCAGCCTCTTGGGGAGCCGCAGGTTGCAGAAGGAAGACAGATGCAGCTGGTGGAGTGAGGCATGGATGTTGGGCCTACCTTCTATAGAGCACCCACCCACCCCAGGCTGGCTGCCTGCCTGCCAAGGGCTCACGCCGCCTGCACAGAGACGGGTGGATGCCAGACACAGGCAGGCCTGGCTCTGAGAGCCCGTGTACTGCTCAGCGGCCGACCCCGGACTGCAGCGGATGCACTGACCTGCTAGCTGTCACACAAAGACTGGGAGGAGAACTTGAAAAGTCCGTGTGTCCCCAGAGCTTGGGGAGCAGAGAGGGCACCATTTTCCCAGTCAGGGGACCCAGACCGAATCCCCCCTCCCTCCCTCCAGTGGTCCTGTGCAGTCGCTGGCCAGGGAGCTGGCACCCTGAAATTCCGCCAGGCCTGGACCTGGCTAGGCTGGTGGCACTTAAGCAGGGACAGCGGCTCAGTGGGGGAGACTTTTTGGGAGCAGCCTAGTGGGGCAGAGAGATGTCCACATTGGACCCGGCCCTCCCTCCTCTCTAGGGGAAGCAGAAGATTCAGGAAAGCACCAGTCCTAGCCATCTCTGGAAGGTGTGCGGGGTCTCTGCTGCCCCCTGGTGGGCATGGTGAGCTGCTAGTGCTGTACCCTGGGCACCACACATTCCGAGCTGGGAGCATCTCCTCTGTGCCCTGCAGACTGAGGGTCCCCTCGCCCCCCGTGTTGTCTCGTTACAGGAGTTCTGTCTCTTCGCCGTTGTGGGCCTGGTGTCTGATTTCTTCCTGCAGATGCTGTTTTTCACCACGGTCTTGTCCATAGACATCCGCCGGATGGAGGTAGGAGCGGCCGGGCAGCCCTACCTGTGTCCGGGGAGCCTGTGATAGGGGGTACAGGCAGCCCCTGGCTTGCAGGCTCAGGCCCTTGCCCCTGTGCCCCCAAC